GTCAGAGATGAGATTCAATCCTTGGCAGTCTAACTGCAGTCTGTGGGCTTCCCCACTTTACTATACTGCCCGTCTTAACTTTTTAGCTTCATCCCTTCTCCCTTACTTATGAAGAAAGAAAAAAAAAAAGAATAAGTAATAATCCCTTTACTTTGTTATCTTTGTGTTCCTTTTGCATAGAATGTCTTTCTTACCCCCAACCCTACCTATGGGTTGCCAATAAATGGAACTGAATCCTCAATAATGAGGGAATATTAACCAGGCCTAGGTGGAGGAGGATGTTCTAGGTAAAGGGACCAGCAATGTGTACACAGGTGCAGGTAAGCAGGAGTCAGACCTTTATAAGCAGGAGCGAAAGGCTCTGTGTGCCATGCTAAGGATTATGGGTTTTATCCTAAGAGTAATAGAGCATCATCGAATAATTTTAACAGAGGAGCGGCTTCAGGTTGGCATTTCAGAAAGATTGTTTTGTCTGAATTATGGAAAATGGATTGGAATGAGGGCTAAATCTTTTCAAGATGCAAAAGGGGGCAAGAAGACTAATTAGAAGACTAATGGAATAACCTAGGGGAGGGATGATAATAATAAGATATTGACTGTGAGAAGAATTAGTAGTGTACTAGGAGCTAAACACCATGATGGTCTGTCTTTGTGTAACTTATCTCTTTTGATTACTCCCTACCTTTGATCAAACACCAAATCTTGTTGATTCTACTTCTGAGATGTCTCTCATATATTAACCTCTTTTCCATTATTGCTGCCATTGTCTTATTCAGGGCTTTGTTATCCTAACTGTTCTCCCAGCCTTAATTCCAGGCCTTTCCTTATAGTGTTTACATTACTGTTAGAATATTTCTGTGTAGCATATCCAATCTTGTTATTCTCTTGTGTGGAGAAAATCGTTAGTTGATTATATGTCTCTTTTTTTGAGACAGTCTTGCTTTGTTGACCTGGGTACAGTGCAGTGGTGTTATCATTAGCTCACAGCAACCTCAAACTCCTGGGCTCATGTGATCCTCCTGCCTCAGCCTCCCAAGTAATTGGGACTACAGGTGCATACCACGGCATCCAGCTAATTTTTCTATTTTTAGTAGAGATGGGGTCTCACTTTTGCTCAGGCTGGTCTCAATCTCCTGAGCTCAAGCACTTCTCCTGTCTTAGCCTCCCAGAGTGCTAGGATTACAGGCGTGAGCCACCATGCTTGGCCCCCTTTGGTGATTTTTAAAAAGATGTTGGCATATGATTTCTTGCATTTTAGTAATAAAGATTTATTTATATAATATAATTTAGTTGCCAAGACACATTTAGTTATTCAGTGCCTTCTAGGAAAAAGGGTCTGTATCTTTAATGAAACCAAGTATCAAATACAAGAGAAATGGAAGAAACTGTTTTATAACATTTTATTAGACCATGAGGAGGAGATACAGGTTTTGGTATAGGTAAAGTTGCTATAGATAATAGTCAGTGAGAGGTCTTGAAGTACCTATAACACATTTGATTGGCTGTATTATAGTTTTCTGAACTTGAAAGTTTAAAATAACAACAAAAATGTTAAAACTTCTCTATTAAGTTATGTAAATGTATTGCCAATGCCTTAGGTTGTTTTATAGAGCTGCCTGAGGGAGTGGTCTGGAAGAAAATGAAAGCAAAGCAGCTGTTATCCCCATCCGGAATAGCTGAATGTGCTAGTGCAGTTGCTCTTGCCTCTGCTTCCTGCAGAGGGATTTGTTCAGAGGCCGCACCAGCTGAGTCTGCACTGGAAGTTGCCTATGGGGAAGTGAACATTCCAACTAATGGGCACATATAGTATGTAGCAACTTAGAAATCTTCCTTGTTGACAGATCTCAAACCTTTCCTCATATATGCAAAGGTCTTGAGACATTGAGATGTGGTTTCTGAGGGCCCAGAGGCTTATCATCCCACCAATGTATTCATCAAAGCAGGCAAAAGAAATGGGTTGTAAAAGCAAATTCCATTTGGTTTTCCTCTCTGGTCCTTGGTTTATGCTTTTTCCATCTTGCCTAGAAAAGCCAGAATCTATTAGTGTCATCATTCCTCACCTTGTCTCACCTTTTTCCTGTGCTCCTCTCTCTGGCTTGGTCTGTGGATTTCTCAGGCCTTTAGAGACATTGCTGAACAGAGTAAATGTGTTTTTCTGAACCAGAACCAAGAGTCCTGGCCTCACTTGGCCTGCAGAGTGTGCATATACAGTCTTCCCATCGTAGTCTCTTCTGCCAGACACTCAGTTTGGAAACCTGAGTGGCTCATGAAGACAGGGCTTCCATCACACTCTCACCATGCCAAAGACCTTCAAACCATCTCTTCAGACCTTTTGACTCTCAGAGCTAAAGAAATTTGCCTCGGCCGGGTGTGGTGGCTCACGCCTGTAATCCTAGTACTCTGGGAGGCCTAGGCGGGAAGATTGCTTGAGCTCAGGAGTTTGAGACCAGCACTCTACCCTGTGTGACAGAACGAGACTGTGTCTCAAAAAATAAATTTAAAAAGTAAGAAAGAAATTTGCCTGCATGATTAGATGTCAGCTTCATTGCCGCCTTGTAGCTTGGAAGTCACAAGCTCAGTTTCTTTTCAGTAAATGGGCAGCCCAAATGTGAACCTTGGGTAGATTCAAAAGGCACTGTGCTTATGCTGTCATTATTCCTTATTTCGAGATTTTCAAAGATGGATTATCAAGCAGGATGAAGCAGATCAACAGGTTTCTCTTTTGCGAAGTTAGAGGATATAATTGTTTAGCCACTCTTTCTGTCTTGCCAAACTGATCTGTCTTTTCCAGGGATCTAAAGTGCTGCATGGCGCTGCCCCCAACTGGTTCTTTTTGGTGCTCATATTATCACATCAGAAAATCTCAGGTCATACGACATTTAAATTTTTTCTAAGCACTTTCAAATGTTTTATCAGATTCTCATAATAACATTGTGAATTGGGTGGATCAGGAATTATCACACCTACTTTGTAGTTGAGAAAAATGAAGGATACATAGCTTTATTAGTTGGTTTGTCCAAAGTAAGTGGCAATTAGGCAGAATTAGACTAGAATTTAGATTTCTTGCCTCTTATCCCATTAGGTTCCCCAGTACTTTGTAAATTCAACATCACCCCCCAAAAATAAGTATTAACAAATGAATTTTAGGCTTATATGAGTTTCCCCCTTTTTCTCCCTTGGAAGAAAGAGAGAGAGAATACATCATGTAAGTTTTGAGTAAATTCATTTTTGAGCTCCTATGCTACATGAGGCTCTCTGACTCAGATGCTGTGGTCTCTTTGACTCTCCAATGCAATGTAATGGTAAAGAGTATGGGCTCTGGAGCCAGACTGCAGAGCCTACCTGTCTCTGCCACTTAATAATTGGATAACCTTGAGCAAGTTGCTTAACCTCTAAATGCCTTCCGTAAAATGAGAGTAATAGTACGCTTACATCATAGAGTTATTGTGCAGAATAATGAGATATAATATATGTAAAGTTCTTAGAATAGTACTGGCCCAATGTAAGCACTTTATTAAATATTAGCTGCTATTATTATTTTCTATATATAAATATACTTATTCACTCTTTAAAAAAAGAGCAAAAAGCAGCCCTTCATGGGCATACAGGAATGATAAAGAATAGCCACATTTCTTGAAGAGTATATCTTCACATAATTTCTCCATAGCCTTATCTCCTACTCACTCCTCAGTTCACTTCAGTCTTATTCTAGTTTTAACCACTTTACTGAAAATGCTTTGGCTGAGGCTGTCAGTCACTTTCTAGTGGACACTTTTCAAGCTTATCTTACTTGATCTGTAGCATTTGATATTGTTGGTCATTTTCTTTTTAGAATGTTCTCCTTCTTTAACATCTATGATGACATTCTTGCTTGGTTCTTCTTCCTCTGCTTGTTCCTGTAAATTTTACCATCCCTTGGGATTCTGTTAATTTCCCGTTTTACATGTTAACCCCTGGACAGTTTCATACGTTCCTTGGACTCTGTAACTGCTTCAGCTCAATGTTGTTGCCTCCTAAATGTAGTCTCTTGCCCAGACTTTATTCTTAAACTTTAAAATAATTCTTTATAGGACATCTCCACCTTAAATTCAACTTGTCCCTGCTGAACTCACCATCTCTTAACATTGCCTCTTCTAAAAATCTACTCCTTTCCCTATATTCTGGATAATTAATAATGACATCCAGGGACCAATAGCCTGGGATCATCCTAGAACTTTTTATTGTCCCCATTCTCCGATCCAGGCAATCATCAAGTTTTTTTTACTCTGCCATCTACCTACATTTCGAATCTTGCCTTGTCCCAATGACTCTACTTTTGCCTTGACTTAGATGCCCTTCTCTCACCAGGATAATTGCCTAACCTGTTTCTCCTTTCTTATATTCTCCACTCTAATCCATCTATCATATCATTGCTAAAATAATCTTTTCTTTAAAAAGCAAATATGACCATGTTGCTCCCCTGTTTAAAAGGCTTCTTTTGTTCCCTACAGACAGGATAAAGTCCATATATCTTAGCAAAACATATCAGCCTCACTTCCTGATTCTCGTACACATGCACTCTGGCCATATTGAGTAAATTAGTTTCCTGAATGCACTTAACCTATGGCTTTGCATATGCTGTTCTCTTTGTGTGGACTATCCATCTTTCCTGCTACCCCATGCCATCCTTTCTGACTCCTTACTTCCTTGTGCAGCTTCCTCTGTCGTGCCCAGACAGAGTTAGTAACTTTATCCTGAGTGGTGCATGTCTGCATATAACTGTATTTTAATATTTACCATATGATATTGTTTGTATCCCTTAATAGGTTGTGATCTCCTCAAAGGGAAGGTACCTTTGTGTGCAGCACCCACCATAGTGCTTGGATGCAGAATAAATCCTTAGTAACTTAAAACAAAACAAAACAAAACACATGGTCTCTGTCTTCTAGGTGTTTACTTTGTAAACCAACAGCCTAAACACTTCTGATAAATGATAGCTGGGTTTTCCCTCTGTTTTTCAGTATATCAACTCTGGGAACCTGGAACAGTTGCTAGACAGTAACCTGCATTTGCCCTGGACTGTGAGGGTAAAACTGGCCTATGACATAGCAGTGGGCCTCAGCTACCTTCACTTCAAAGGCATTTTTCATCGGGACCTCACATCTAAGGTATGAAGGCTTTACTTTGACAACTTTTTGAGAGACACTATCTTTTTTTTTAACCAAGAAATCTGTGTTAAGAAATCAGTCACATGGCCGGGTGTGGTAGCTCACGCCTGTAATCCCAGCACTCTGGGAGGCAGAGGTAGGAGGATTGCTTGAGCTCAGGAGTTCAAGACCAGCCTGAGCAAGAGCGAGACCCCGTCTCTACTAAAAAAATAGAAAGAAATTAGCTGGATAACTAAAAATATATAGAGAAAAAATTAGCCAGGCGTGGTGACGCATGCCTGTAGTCCCAGCTACTCGGGAGGCTGAGGCAGAAGCATTGCTTGAGCCCAGGAGTTTGAGGTTGCTGTGAGCTAGGCTGATGCCACGGCACTCTAGCCTGGGCAACAGAGTGAGACTCTGTCTCAAAAAAAAAGAAATCAGTCACTAATGAGTTTAGGATTATGTAGATCTCTTATAGATTTAACATTTAATCCTCTGTGATTACAGAGGACATAATTCATTACTCTTTATAGCTAGCTAGTCCTTAGAAAGCCTGTATCAGCTCAGAGCAGGTACATTTCAGTGTTGAGCCAAGCAACACATTCACCTTGAGAGCCTTCACATTTGACTTCAGTTCTCCTGAATGTGTGTTGCAGGAGCAGATGACATGGGGAGGGTAAAGAGATTCTTGCCCTGTAGGCGTGACAGCAGTCAAGGTGGTTGGTGTGGGGGCCTGTCAGTTTTCTCTCCCATGGCCCCCAGGACACAGCTCTTAGCTGAGAGCAGGAGTTCAGTGATTTTTAGTCACTTGAGTATAGGTTTTGAGGGCCATAATGTACTGACCCATTTTCTGTCTGTGTGATTGAGTTTCTGCCATCCTGCCAGTTCCTCTTTGGTGTCAGCTGGTCTCTGTAGTGTTCTCTTGTTGTCCAAATTGCTATGTGACCAGGTTAGAAAAGAGTTGCTTTCAGAGGAAGTTGGCCATGCTACAACGCTGGCACCCTAAAGCCAAATGGCCTAGGACACCACTGTGACAAGGCTTATATAAATAGTACTGTTTAATAATTGGTGGATGAACTGTAAGGCCATCTAACATATCTAATATGACTTCTGCCCAAGAACTGAATTCAAGTCTTCTAGGGAGATGTATAGCAGTTTTGTACCTGCCTAAGAATAGCTGTCATTTCATTCCCCATTCTCTACACATACACATGCATACATGCATACACATACTCCTATACTACTTCTGTCACAGACGAGTGGGGAGAGCAGCCTGTTATAGGAAGAAGTTTGCAAAGAGAACCAAAACAGCTGTACTCTGAGCTAATAAAGCAGTAAGTCCCTGGCTACCATACCGTTGGAATGGTTCTGCTGTTTCAAACAGCAGTACTGTACCTGACAGACCTTGGCCATTGGTTTATAAACTACTGTACAGAAAATACCTTTGGGGAGGTGATTGTAGGGCCACTGAGTGTGGCAGAGTCACTTACAGTCAGCTGCAAGACTGGCACATAGAACTGGGAACTAGCTGAGGCCTAGCTGTATGGAGCCCTTTATCTATGTTACTACCTCAAGAACTGGACAGTTGGGGCCTGGAAGGTGATATTTTATTTCTTCATCAGCCATTTCTTCTCTGCGAGAATGTTTTAGAAAATCAAGACTAAGAAAACTGCACTTGTTTTAGGCAAATGGGTGGGGTTGTATCAACTTAGACAATTTCTTAAGGTGATACTCTTGCCTCAGATATCTAGTCAAAAGCAAATCTTGGCTTCCTACTCAGCGCTATTTCTTCTAAGGTGGAGGGAGTTTGTGACAAATTATCCATCAGTTATACAGATATTTCCCCCACACCTACCTGAGTATCTCCTGTGCCTGGCTCCATGGGTGAAGGAATATTAGAAAAGGAGAATTTCTGATCTGGAGATACAGTCTTGTTGGGAAATAATTTAAAGATAGTGCACAGCACTTTATAAGTAAGAGTTCAGCTACATAGACTACAGGTTTTCAGAGCAGGGAAGATCATTCTAGGCTAGGGTAGCTAGGCTTCGTGGAGTAAGAGAGTTCATGAGAGTTCATCATGTTCCCTTCTGTGCCCCGAAAGCACTTTGTCCCACCGCACTAGTGTTCAAGTGTGGTTCTGTCTGGGCTTGTTGTGTCGTATTGTAAAAAAGGACTAACCTTTTTGGACTACAGGGTAAGACGTCCTTTGGTTTTTCTTATAGGGAGTGGGCATTCCCAGTGTCAGTTGGCTTGACACAAGAAACTAGGGAACTTAGGAGAAAGAACTCTCTCTGTTTCTGGGCTGTGCTTTCCTGGGTCTGGACTTTAAGATGTTAAGGATAAAGAACACATGACTTTTGCAAGCTCTAGAGGAAGGTACTGTAGGGGATCTCAAGTTGAAGACAACAAGTGAGTCTAATAAACCTTATAAACTATCTAATTTGAGATTCTTTTTGTGTTCATTACCCTTTTATTATCTCTGAGCTTTTTGTGGTAAAGTTTTGTCTGAATGTTCCAGCCTTGTTGTAAATGTTTCAGGAATTACGGAGAATATTGTATGTCCACACCCAGGCCAGAGCAGCCCCACCCAGGACACTTGTGTGGTGGCGGCCTTGACTCTAAGATTAAGAAGCCCCAATGAGAAATAAGGCTCATGGGACAGCAGAGGGCTCTGAGGTTTCCAGACTGTGTCTTCATTGTCAACCTTGGGTCCATGTTTGATTTCTTTAAGATCAGTGTTACCTATCTTTATTTATTTTTTAATTTATAAACAATAGAAATTTATTTCTCATAGTCTGGAAGCTGGGAACTCCAATGAGAGACTTCTTGCCACGTCCTGGCATGGCAAAAGGGATGAATGCTTTATCCTCATGTGGCAGAAGGTTAGGGTAAAAAGCAGTGTTACCTATATTTTAGAAGTGTACACTTCATATTATTTGATCTGTTCTTTGTCTCCCACCAGCGCATTGGTTTCTCAAGTGCTCCTCTTATTTACCTTTGTATTCATAGCACCTAGCACAGAGCCTGTGAGAGTGGGGGCTTCCTGGCCCTGTTTCGGGGAATGGGCTTGATAGCAAGAGGCCCAAACATCTGCTGCAGAGATGAGATTTTGGGTCCCAGGCCCAGTTTGGTCCCACCTTTCCAAATTACTTCAGTGCCCTTGGGACCTCAGTGTTCCCAGTCTGTAAAGGAGATTCTGTCCTTGACCTTACAGGAGTGATTAGTCCATGGTTCTCAGACCAGAGCTAACAGGAGGGATTTAAAGTGGGAACATGTTCCAAGTCAGTAAACCAGGACAGAGAGCAGTAGATGCCTTTTCCAAATGGTTCTGAGCCTGTGGTTGCGGCAAAAGGATCCCTAGTTTCCTATCAGCATACCTCCTACAAGTGGTATTGCCTTTGTAAGATTTACATGTCAGCAGCTGCTGCAGTACTGCTTTAAGAGTGAAAAGTCTGTCAGATACAGCTGTTTGGTCTAATTTTGTAAGCAGCAGCCTGAAATGGATTTGTGCAGGGGCAATGCTAAGAACTTACTTAGAAGGGGGTGGGAGGCAGTGTGCCTTTAAAAATATTCAGTTCATGAGCTCCATAAGGAACTGGCAATAACCACACATAAGCTTTTACCAGTAGCTCTAGAAGTAACTAGTACAAGTATACATGACCCTTGGCTCTTGAAGTAGCTAAGAGAGCAGTTTGTTTTTGCCTAATACCATTACTGCCTAGCATCAGGAAAGCACCACTGTGGTTACTATTGGGAGTATGCCTATGAATTATGAATCGTACCTTTAGTTCTTGGTTGTTCTTTACTGTTGTTCCGTGTTGACTCTATAGAAGCCACTCTGGTGACTTCATCAGAGTGAAAAGCCTGTCTGGCTATGGTCTTGGGCTATGCCACACAATTAGGAACAGAAATGCCAATTTTCAGAAAGTGGAGAGAATGTGAATTAGGAACAAAGTTGAATGTTGGAAGGATGCAGAGAGTGGCTATTAGGGCACCCTGGAGTTATTTTTTATAATGAGAACTGTCAACAGCTTCTGAAAACCATTTTACTGTGTTATTAGAGGACACAGTATTGGGAACATAGAAATGACTGGAATCCAATATGTACCCTCCATGGGCTTTTAGTCTGGTTGTAGAGACAGATAAGTGAGGAGGTCATCACACAAGAGCTATGGTAAGTAAAGGTACGGGATCACATGGTGGGGTTAGGGCAAGGGATGGGACACATCAAAACAAAACAGATAATTTTCTAATAGACTTTGACTGTAGCAGTCCCTGAGGCATTTAGGAGGCAGTTCAGTCACTGATCTCCCTGTACTGTGAAAAGAACATGTTAACCTTTCTTGAGATGTAGAACCAGTCTTTTGCTACCTGATGCTAACTGGGTTTATGGAGTTTGTGGGGTGAGGGGAAGAGGTGATGGCACATTGAAAGTCTTTTTATTGTTGTTATAGAAACAGCTTTAGCTTAGAGCAAACAGTAACAAATGGACTTGGCATTGGTGGTTTTATTCAGTGTCAATACTGACTGTTCATGTTCCAAGACAGGTGTCTACTCTGGCCTAGTTCTGAAGAATTTATGTAGGTTTCCAGGAGATACATCATCCAGGGCCACCCTTTTGAGGCTCAGTCCTTACTATGGAGTCAAATGTATGCTTTTAAATGCTCACTTGCTTCAGTCATCAGATCAAACTTTCATTTAATAAACTTTTGCCAAGCTCCTGTGTGCCGGTGCTAGGTTAGAGATACAGAGATGAATGGGATCTTTCCCTGCCCTTAAAGAGGAAAACATGTAAGTCACTCTGCTACAGTGTGATGCACTATAGTAGGGGTGAGGACAAAGAGGAACTAGAGCCAGGCAGCAGTAGCCTGGGCTGCTTTTCGAACCTGAAAAGGTTACCTCTTGCCTCAGGGAAGTCTGACTGGGCCTCTCTTACTGCTTACTCTAGGCAAGTTGTCTTCTAAGATGGGAGAGAAATAGGTGACAGATCTGAGCTGCCACTGCCTCACAGGCTGGTGCCCTATAGCTGGGGCTTTGGCTGCCTAATAGGCAGGCTGGCCTAGGGCCATCTTCCCACAGACAGTCAAAGTCAGGGGATTAGGATGCTGAGCCAGCAGGGCCAAAGCCAGGACGACAAGCACAGAGACTGTCCTACTTGGAAGCCAGAGATGATGCATTTCTACCTGGGATCCAGGGTAGGAGATGTGACGAATCAGGCTCCTTCCACCTTGGGAAAGGGGAATAGCGTAATCACATCAAGGCCAGAGTAAGGGATTAATTTGTAACTGATGTGGAGTAAGCAAGGATGTGATTTGGCAATGTCTTAGCAACTACATGCCAATGCTGGCAAGGAGGAGGGAGGGATGGTTTGGGTCAGATAGGGTCTTGCTGGCCCCAGAAATGTTTCTGTGAGCCAAGGATCCCCGCTCTGCTGCCTCTGGAGGAAGGGGGTGGGGTGAGGTGCCTGAGCCAGAGTGGTGTAGGACTATTTTGAATTAAGCTATTTGGGGAGAGCTAGTTGCTGCTTTGTTTGTTTATAGGTCATTTGGGTTCACCCTTTCTCTGAAGATGGCAGCATTTGTTCAGCAAGCATGTCCTCAGCTTCTCCCATGAATTAAATACTGTAAGGAAGGCCCAAACCGGAACCTGCTCCCAAGGAGCTCACAGCCTCTCTGCTAGACTGTAAGAAGTGGCATAGAGGAGGAGTTAAAGGAGTTTGAGATGAGAGGGAGAGGTGAAGGTGTAGCATATTCCAAGTGGAAAGGAGCAGTATAAGCAAAGGCAAAGGCTTGAAGGGCCTGCTTAGGCTTGGTAAATCAAGCTTGTCTGTGACAAGTCTGGATGAGGGTATGTGCATAGGGGTACCAGGAGCCAGGGATGTGGGGAGTAAGCCAGTTGGATGGAGCCAGATCATAGACTTTTAATGCCATACAGGTTAGTTGTGATCCTTTGGGCAGTGAAAGTCAACGTAGGCACTTGTCTTATGCTTTATTAACTTGGCAAGGTCAGGGCTGGGTTTTTGGGTCTCGGCATCCTGAGGAAGGAGGAAACAGGGGCTTGATAGTCTGTCTTCCTCCACTAGATTGTAAATTCCAAGAGGACAAGAGTTTTTGTTTTATTGAGGTATCTCTAAAAGTACACCTAGCACTTAGAAAGCAACAACAAACAATTATGTTTGGAGTATGAAGTGAATCTTAAGGCAGCCACCCAAGATCCAGGACTCATTTCACATGACTTAGGGCCCCCAGATCTGACCACTGGGGTCAGCCTAAGAGTGTGGTTCACCAAGGAGCAGAGGACAAGGTGCCCTGTGATAGGACGGGAGGTTTGGGTGATAAACTATGGCTGGATGGTCCCTACGTCTAAGCCACATTATCTTCTCTTCTTTGGGAACCCTAGAACTGCCTGATAAAGAGGGATGAAAATGGTTATTCTGCAGTGGTTGCTGACTTTGGCCTGGCTGAGAAGATCCCTGATGTCAGGTGAGTAGCCCTAATGAATGAATGCTGGGGTCTGAGGAGAGGGGGCTGAAGCTAAGGGAAAATTACAGCACTTGATTACAGTTCAACCTCAGCTCCCTTAAATTTGGTCAGTCCTAGTCCTTGGAGGAGAGGAAGATCCCGTTGTGCCAACAAGTGGCAAACTCATTTTCTGTATAATCTTACTCCACAGCATGGGGTGTGAGAAGTTGGCCGTAGTGGGCTCACCCTTCTGGATGGCACCTGAGGTTCTCCGAGATGAGCCCTATAATGAGAAGGTAAGTCTGGGAGGATCTCAAGGCCTAGTTCTCCTTAGAATCTACACTTAGCAGAAAGTGTCCAGGATCACCCTTTATGTTCAGGGTGTTCTTGCTAAGAGTAGGTCTGGTACTGGCAGCTGCCCAGTGAATGGCTTGGATGAAATATGGGCAATAGAGCCCAGGCCTGGGCTGTTAGACATGGGGGGCAGACACCCCACCCCTCAGCCCATTGAGAGGGAAACCGAGGTCTGACTACCCACCAGGCAGATGTGTTCTCTTATGGTATCATCCTCTGCGAGATCATCGCCCGCATCCAGGCTGATCCGGACTATCTTCCCCGCACAGAGGTGAGCTGCAGGCATGGGGATCAGTGCCACTGGGATGGGGCTGGTTTGAGGCCATGCAATTGCTTTGTCCTTGGGGTGGAGTTGCTGGAACTCAGTGTGTGGCTACTTTTCAGGGGCAGCTCCCATCCTCCTCTTCTGAGCAGGCCAGGATGGGTAGGGGGATTAATGACCTGTCTACCCATGTCCCCTATACCCTCCCCACCATACCCATCCACAGAATTTCGGGCTGGACTATGACGCTTTCCAGCACATGGTGGGAGACTGTCCACCAGACTTTCTGCAGCTCACCTTCAACTGCTGTAATGTGAGTGTCTTTCTCCCCTTGGCTTTGGTCGGGGGCTGGCTGAACCCTTTTCACCTGGTTAGGACTGTAGACGCTGCTAGCTAACCTCAGGAAGCCTCATTTTCATTGAAAGAGTGACAGCAACCATACCTTCCCCTCCCTCTGGGCCTGGTGGGGCTCTCCAGTGCCCTGGACCAAGGAAAGAAAAATTTGTGCTGTATTATCTGGTCCTCAGTCTGCAGGATAGACCCCCACTCTTTGCCTTGGGTGTTGATGGGACTCTGGTCAGGGTTTATTGTTGGATGGTGGATCCAGCTGGTCCTGAGGCACATGAGAAAGGCTCTTGTTAGCCTTCATGTATACAGCTCTGGGGGGCTGGACCTACCTGTTATGACCAAGTGACTGGGCTTTGATCAGGTACGTCCCAGAAACACATTAGCAACAGAACTCAAGAACAGAATAAACCAACGTGAACATACTTTCAGAGGGTTTTGTACCAAATAAGGCACATAAAAAACACACATAAAGGAGACCAACAGGGGAGGATCGTAGGCAATACCATCTTCCTAGACCTTAGCCCTGTGAATCACCCTCATTACCTGGGGCCTTCAGAAACGATCTCTTAGCTGTACATGTGAACCTTAAAAGATGCCAGAAACAGACTCAAATGCCATCCTTGAGGTGGGAGATGGAGAGCAAGGCTAATGGCTGGTGTGGATGCCTACAGATGGACCCCAAACTGCGCCCATCCTTTGTGGAGATTGGGAAGACCCTGGAGGAAATTCTGAACCGCTTACAGGAAGAAGAGCAGGAGACAGATAGGAAGCTACAGCCCACAACCAAGGGTAAGAGATTAGACCAGAGATCCCAACCTGACCCCAAGGGAGGAAATTAGGGTGTAGGCCTTGCTGTGTAGGGCTGTGATTGCAAGATGCCAGGTCCAGAAGCAAAAAGGGAGGGAATAATGATGGAAAAAGTATGGGACTCTGTAAGAGTTGTGACTTTTCCCTCCCCTGAGTCTGTTTATTGATGAAATGGAACAGTACCTACTTTGCTTTTGTGAATGAAAGCACTTTGCAGTACAGTACTGCTTCTATTTGCTATGACCAATGAGAGTAATCCAGACTTGACTCACTATTCTTCAGGACTCTTGGAGAAAGTACCTGGGGTGAAGCGACTGAGCTCACTGGATGACAAGATCCCCCCCAAGTCACCACGCCCAAGACGTACCATCTGGCTGTCTCGAAGCCAGTCAGACATCTTCTCCCGTAAACCCCCACGTACAGTGAGCGTCTTGGATCCCTACTACAGGCCACGAGATGGTGCTGCCCATACCCCCAAAGTCAACCCTTTCAGTGCTCGCCAGGACCTCAAGGGTGGCAAGATCAAGTTCTTTGACTTGCCCAGCAAGTCTGTCATCTCCCTTGTATTTGACCTGGATGCACCAGGGCCTGGAACTATGCCTTTGGCTGACTGGCAGGAGCCCCTGGCCCCACCACCTGCTCGCCGGTGGCGTTCCTTGCCTGGCTCACCTGAATTCTTGCGTCAAGAAGCCTGTCCATTTGTGGGCCAGGAAGAATCACTATCGGATGGGCCCCCACCACGCCTCAGTAGTCTCAAGTACAGAGTAAAGGAGATCCCACCATTCCGGGCATCTGCCCTACCAGCTGCTCCAACCCATGAGGCCATGGACTGCTCTAGTCTCCAGGAAGAAAACGGTTTTGGGCCCAGGCCCCAAGGGACCAGTCCGTGCCCTGCAGGTGCCTCTGAGGAGATGGAGGTAGAAGAAGAAAGGCCAAGAGGCTTGGCTCCAGCTTCCTTCTCCATCTCAGGCATAGGCCAGCAAACCCAGGAAGAGCAGGATGGGTGAGGGGAGTTAGTCCCTGCCTCACCTTGGGATGGACCTTCAGCTGAAGCCATAGGGCCCCCTTGGTACACAGCCTTGACTCTTCCCTGGAGCCCACAAAGCAAGCAGGCTAGACCCAGCCAGGCTTAACTTTGGGGCTCCCAGTGCCCACTGGCTGTGTATGAGAGGGGAGACAGCAGTGGGAGGCTTTCCTAGCTAGGGCCCACATCTGATACCAAGCCTCTGAAATCCAGCAAGGAGCTCTGGCTCCCACCAGACACCCCCGCCCCAGTCCACTTCCTCATACAGGACCAGAGGACCCCTAGTTCTAGGCTGAGCTGGCAGGCAGCTATGACCCCTATTTTTTTCCCACCCCAAGTCTGTTTCTTACCCTTTTTGGGGGCTTATAAGGCTACTGGATGGAACGTAGAGCTGACCAGGAGGCCATAAAGGGCATGACTGTTTCCCAGACTTGAAGACTGGGGTGCTTCTTGCCAGTATGTCTGAGACACTTGAATAACTGCTGTTTGCACTTATCACGTGGTCAGACCACGTCACTACATTTCTATGCAAGGGGAGGGCAAGGCAGCATGGTGGTCATGGCTCTTAGCTAACCTATTCAAAAACCTTTTCCAGTTGATTAATCTATTTTCATATTTATAAAGGAATCTTAATGTTCTGCCCCATAAAACTTTCAACCTTGTGGTTGGGAGTGGGGCTGCTTTTGTAGGCCTTAGGGTCTGCTCTATGTATTTGTCAACACGTGATACACTCAATTGGTTAAATGGTTTATATATGGACTGATTTTCTTCCCTTCCTGCTATGCCTGGAGCTTTGGGAACAGTCTGTCCTTATAGAGCCGCAATAAGAAATAACCAAAGATGAAGCTGGTCAAATATTTTCATAACTTGTTTCTGTTGATTTTTTTTTTTTTGTAAAACTTTCCCAAGACACTTTCAAATTTAAAATAAATAAAGTTGGTATTACAGGTGCTGGTCAACCTTCTTGTGCTCTTGTACCTCAGCCTCTGGGGTAAAGGAGAATGTCCAGGTCAATGCAGCGGTATCTGTGCCAGGACCCCTCCCCCAAACTCAGTAGTAGTTAAGTATGACATTTACAGGGTAGAGGGACCAAAATACCTCTGTTCTACCCTCAGCTGCTCTTCCTGGGCCCCAAGTGCTAGGTAGAAGTTGGGTCAGCTTCTCCCCAAGCCAGCTTCATCTTCTGGTTGTGGGCTTTGGAGGAACGGGAGAACTGGCTCTTGGCCACTGTGAGGGGTACAGCTTTGCCACTCAGATACACCTTGTTGTGGCATTCAGGGAGCCAGGGTCCAGAGCTGCAGGGCGGAGGTCCCTGGTTCACTCCCACATAGGCCATCACATAACCTGTCATAAAGGCATCAAAACCAGCCCGATGCAATCCATCCCCAGGCACTGGGTTAGGACTGGCTTGACTCCCTGGCACTTCTGAGGTAGCCGTGTCAGCTTTTTCAGGTCTTGCTGCCTTAAGCCCCAGCTCCGTATCATTTTTGTGACCTTGCTCAGAGCAAGACAGGTTCTTAGTTTCATCAGCCACCTTTTGCTCTTCTTCCTCAACCTTGAGGCTATCCCCACAGACCTGCTTCTTGGGAGGACCATCCTTAGCTTCCCCAGAGGTCTGTGTCCCAGGCAGGTTCAACAAAGCCCTCCTTCGTTTTTCCCTACGCCGTCGACGTCGCCGCTTGTCCTCCAGCACAGCCTCATCAGTGTCAATGATAAGGTCAATATCATGGGACTGAGGACACTGTGGTCCCAGGGGACACCAGCCATAGGCCTAGAGGTGAGAAAAAGGCTTAGAAAGGGGTTCCAGGCATTAGAACCTCCCCTTCCCCAGGAAATAGGCAGGTGTTCTTACCGAAAAATTGTCACAGACGCTGGTGGAATGAGGGCGGTGGGTTGCAGGGGGCATACAGCAGCGGTAGTCAATATGGGCCCTCATGCTAGAAGGATAGCTGCAGAACTCCAGGGTAAGGTGTGGGCTGCCAGCTGCCCGCTGCTTCCCATTTTCCCGTTCACTGCAACAGCGCAAAGGGTATTGGTCCACTAGCATATAAGCTCCATGAGAGCAGGGTTTTTTGTCTGTTTTGTTCACTGCTGAATCCTCAGCACCTAAAACAGTGCCTGGCACATGGTAGGAGCTCAATAAATATCTCAAGTGAATGAAATAGGCACATATCAGGCCCCACCCCTTTCCCTCAGGCATTTCCTCACCATTTCCGGAAGGCATATTCTAAGTAGGAGGCTACGAAGCGGGCATGAAACTCAGCAGCATATTTGGTGTCATAAATGCCTGCTGGGAACATCTCACACAGGTCAGCGGTGAAAGTTCCCAGATTATCCGGGAGGTGTGCATAGAAGTTCTGGTACAGGAACACCAAGTCTATAAGGCCATTGTGTAGCACTAGGGGCCGGCGGGCCCGGATCAGCTCCAGGAACAGTGTCCGTACTGACAGGCTCTGGCTCTCATCACCCTAGGTGGAAGTAAAGGGGTTACTGGGAAGGACAGAGTCCCCCAGGAAGCCTCTTCTGTAGGACACTTATCCCAGGCTCCCCCACCTGGAAAGTTCTCCCTCTCTACCTAACCCAACGCTACCCACCCTCCTATCAGTCTTGTTTCCTCAACCCTGTCACTAGTGATTCCTCATACTCTCTTAGCAGCAGATTCTCCCCAGGCATCCAGCCTAGTTAGTATAGGAAGAAATGAAGTCACAGAAGAGGCACACTCGAGGCTGGAAGCCTACCTTGTCATTGCCCTTATGGTAGGGGATGCCCTGGGCATACTGCTGGTTGAAGTTGAAGCCATGCTGTACCAGGAACTGCACAGACTTTGGTTCTATGACATACTCCTCCATGCACAGCAGGGTGAGATTAAACACTTGAGCCAGGTAGGAATGTTCGCCCTGGGAGAGAAAGAGGATCTGTTATATCAAGATTTGAGAGAAAAAACCTCATACCTGATGTTCCGCAGGATCTCAACCCTCCTCCCACCAGCTACAGACCTGGGATGGGGGTGAGATCAGCCCATACCTTGTCTAGCTGCTGCTTGAAGCAAGCAAGGCCCAGGGAGAGGACAGAACGGGTCCTGGCAGCATGACACACAGCCTTGTAACGTTCCTCGATGCACCTTGGGGTTGGGTTTGGTGGTGGCTGTGGCTAGGAGTTAGCCTGGTGAACGACCCAAACCACCCAGGATTGTGACCCTCCACCCCCTCCAGAGTTGAGGTCTGAGACTAAAGAGAAAAGGGCTTATACTTACTGGTTCAGCAAACTCTTCCTGTCCCCAAGCCCACTCAGCTCCTATAGGTGGGTAAAGGGAAGTGGTGATAGGCCCCTAGCACCAGCCACTCCATAACCTCCTGTCCTCCCTGCTTCCCAACCCTTACCGTGTCCACAGCCACGAAGTTAGCTGTTTTTATGGCCAGCAGGAGGGATGGCCACATCTCCTTGAAGTTGTTGCTTTGCACATCCACCACAGGAACCTGGACTAGCTCTTCCCCAGATTTTGTGCTTTTGCTGACACCACCTGAGAGTAAGGAAGGTGATGGATGTTCATGCTCACCCAAAGACCCAGGCCGGGGAAACAGACACCAAGCTAGGCCACTGGGGGGCGGGGGCAGTTTCCATCGGTAGCTTTTGTATTCCATGTGTTCTTGGGAGGACAGTACCCCGAATTTGAGGAGAGGAAGCCTGGGTCTTCCAGTGGCCTATGTGAGCCTGGGAAAATTACTTCCCCTCTAGCGTCACAATCTGTAAAGGGGAGAAAGTTGGACTAGATGACCTTTGAAGTTCCTTTTTCCCACGTGCTGCAAGAAAATATTTTGCAGGGCTTGAGGATTTCAGCTCCCTTAATATACCACAAGGATCCATACTTCTGTTCCCAGCAGCCACAAGTGACTCTTCCCAGTATTCCCCAGAGCCAGATAAATAATGCCCCACACCAGACCTCCCAATACGTCATACTTCCCGTGGTCCTGCTACACTGAACTGTATCACATCTACCAACAGTTATGAGCTCCAGACTACATCTCCCGACATGCCACCAGCCCCGACTATGTCTCCAACACTTGCGGCTTTCACTGCCCGCGCTGTAGTGCACACCGGGACTTGTAGTCGGCTCGTGGCTGCTTCAGGAGGAAGGAGCTAGTCCTCTGAGCTTGAGGTCTGTCTCTACAACTATGAACCCGAGGCCTATCCGTTCCCTGGAGCGCACCGCCTTTTAAGGCGACTCCTGGGAAGGCGCTCACCGTCGGAAGCTGCTGGAGCTGAAGCTGCGCCATCGTCACCATCAGCGGCCATGACGCTGCGCGTCTCCCGCCTGAGTCGCCTGTGGGTACGCGGGACTTCCGCTTCGTCTCTTGGCGCGGCTCCGGCAGTAGGGGATGGGGCGGGGTCTCCCTCTCCGCGGGCTGGCGCGGGGGAGTCCTCCCGGAGCGCGCTAAGAGCCTATTGGCTGGTGCGCCCGGCTCACCGCCCGGAGCCACGCCCCTTGGAGTGCGTCGGAGCGTCTGCGCGGGAGGCGGCTCGGGAGGTAATGTCTTCTCCTTCCAGTACCTCCGGCGGGAGCGTGGGGCCTCGGTGTCACGCTGTCTTCATCCACGCGGCCCGGGGGGCAGGTGGGGCAGGTGGCACTGCTTGAACTTGGCTTTAAAGCACACCTAGGAGTTAGGCAAGGAGAGGGGCGTGTTGGGGGAAAGAAGGATGTTCTCGGCGTGGGCAAATCCCGAGAGAGGATGGAGAGCTCAGTGAAAGGCGGAGCTCAGGGCACGGGACAAAGCTCCAGAGAAGGTAGAACTCCAGTCAGGGAAACTTGTGAAATAATCCAAGCAAGTGATAATGTGGCCTTGAACTAAAACTCTGGCAGTAGGGTTGGCGACGAAGGGACAAACTGTAAAGCAGTTAGGTGGTATAATTGCCATATGATTGAACGTGACTCAAGAGCCTTGTTCCTACTGGAGACCAGTCCCTCCCAAGCATTCTGGTTCCCATTCCCTCTTGGCCCACTAACGCTTTCTCCTTGGTTATCCACTGTTTCTCGTTCATCTTCAACTTTTCTCTTTTTACTGAGTCCTTTTTGTTATTATGCAGAACTGCTTGTGTTTCTCCCATCCTAAAAGAGGGAAAATCTCCTTTGACTATCTACCATTCCGTTACCCTTAATTCATTTAACAAATATTTATTATGTATAGTTTACCTGGCACTGGCTCCGGGGACACAACAGTCAACAGAAGAGACTCAGTCCTTGCACTCATAGTTTTTTACAGTCAAGTCGGGGAAGCGGACACTGACCAAAAGAATCACAAATACATGTGAAGTTACAATTGGAATAAGAGCTGCAGTGGTGAAGTACATGAGAGGGTAAGACTGGAGGACCTGATTTGGACATTTAAGGATACACCTGAAAAATGATTAGATGTTAGGTCAAGCATAGAAGAGGTATCCAAGCAGAGAAAATGGATGGCATGAAGCCCCAAATGTTGGACAGACAGTCCAACATTTAGGCAACCGAAGCAATTAAATTAAGGAGACCACGGCTCTAGAGCATAGTGAAAAGGGATGAGGCAGGCGGGGCCCTGACCTTGGACACACAAAGCTGTAGTAAGAGAATTGGCTCCTATTCTAAGAGCAAGGGTGTGACAGCCAAAGCCCTCCGGTGGCCTGTAAGGTACTTTGTGACCCTACCCCCATCTCTGTGGAAGAGAGATTACCTCCCACATCATCCTACTACTTAGCCTCGCCTCATTCCATTGTAACCACATTGGCTTCTTTATTGTACCACAAACCTGCCAAGCACCCTCCTTAGGACCTTTGCACTCATTTCTTCTCAGAATGCATTTCCCATAGGTATCCATAAGTCATTGGTCACATAGCACTTTAATGGGGCCTGCCAGGACCACTTCTTTAAAATTGCAACACTCCAGGTGGGTGTGGTAGCTCACGCCTGTAATCCTAGCACTCTGGGAGGCCGAAGCGGGAGGATTGCTTGAGCTCAGGAGTTCAAGACCAGTTTGAGCAAGAGCGAGACCCCATCTCTACTAAAAATGGAAAAAAACCAGCCAGGCATGGCCGGGCGCGGTGGCTCACGCCTGTAATCCTAGCACTCTGGGAGGCCGAGGCGGGCGGATTGTTTGAGCTCAGGAGTTCGAAAGCAGCCCCCATCTCTACTAAAATTAGAAAGAAATTAACTGGACAACTAAAAATATATAGAAAAAATTAGCCGGGCATGCAGCTATTCGGGAGGCTGAGGCAGAAGGATCACTTGAGCCCAGGAGTTTGAGGTTGCTGTGAGCTAGGATGACGCCACGGCACTCTAGCCCGGGCAACACAGTGAGACTCTGTCTCAAAAAAAAAAAAAAAAACCAGCCAGGCATGATGGCACCTGCCTGTAGTCCCAGCTACTCGGAAGGCTGAGGCAGGGATCGCTTGAGCCCAGGAATTTGAGGTTGCTGTGAGGTAGGCTGACACCACAGCACTCTAGCGTGGACAACACAGCAAGGCTCTGTCTCAAAAAAAAACTCCAAATAACAAGATAAAATTGCAACATTCCACCACCGACCCTGCACCCTGGCACTCTGTCCCCTTCATTTGTTCTGCTTTCCCCTTTTATGCTAATATTTATCACTTAACATCATATATAATTTATTATATGCATTATTTATCGTCTGTCCCCATTAGAATATAAGCTTCATGAGGGCAGGAATCTTTAATGTTTTATTTACGAAAGTGTTCTAATTACCTGAAACTGGTTGTCACATAGTAGGCACTCCATAAATATTTGTTCAGGGATTTAATGGGAAGCCATTGAAGGTTTTAAGGAAGGAAGTGACATGATCATGTTTGGAAGGTTGCTGTGCTCTTTGGAGAGCGGATTATAGAATGAAATATGGAAGTAAGTGAGTTTGGCTATGGAAGGGATGGTGTTGGTTGGAAGGGATTGAAGGAGCAAGACTTTGAGGAGGAAGAGGTTAGGACAGTGCAAATGGAGGTAGGTTTGTACATTCAGGTTTTTTTCCTTTGCTGATTGTGCTTTGTATCATTTTTTTTCTCTCAAGGAGGAAGCAAGCTCTTTTGATGATAAAGAGGTGGTGAAGTCAAAGGTTCCAAGTTTGAAACAGAGGCTTAGTAGAGACTGCAGTATAGCAGAGTGTAAGAGTGCAGGCACTGGATTTGAAAGAACAGGTTGCTTAATCTCTACAAGCTTCAGTTTCCTCATAACTAAAGTGGAGGTAATTCTAGTGTGTGCCTCGGTGAGAGCTCCAGTAAAGCACTTCGTGGGGTCTGGTACAGAGTGAGCCTTCACTAAGTGCTACTAGCTACTAGAGAAAACATAGCCAGAGGAACAGTCAGGGAGCAGTAAAGATCAACCGGTTGCATTTTCTCATTACTAATGGTCGGCCAGCTATGATTTACTAGATCAGGAAAAGATTAGGAATAAAAATAGCTCATCTCTATTCGTCCACTGATTGGCCATCTGTTCTCAGGCAGATCTTTTCCCCTCTCTGATCCTTGATTTTTTCCTCTCTATAAAATGAAGGTTTTGGACTAGAGGCTGTTTCAGTGTAACCGTCATAATATCTCGAATCAGAGACACCTATCCCCCACCCCATGCTCCCACATACATCTAAACAGCCCCTATACACGAGCACGATCACAATACGCATCCTGGACACACAAGTGCTCCCAAACAGGAGGCTCTGGTCCAGCCCTGGCTTCTTGTTCTTTGCATGTCTCCAGGGCTATACTTATGCTGGGGTCCCCCGGAGGCCACTTGCTCAGCTATACTGGTCGTACCTCAGTGTCACAGCAAGAGGAAACCCATGAGCACCTAGAGAGTGCTTGAGAAAAGCTAGACACCATATGAATGGTGTAGGGAGGGAGGTGGCTACCACCTCTGCAGGGCCTCAAGATTCAGCCTCATTGTGACTATTTTAGCTGGGTCTCTCTGTTCCAGGCCATGAGGAAGCCACGAGCAGCCGTGGGAAGTGGTCACAGGAAGCAGGCAGCCAGCCAGGAGGGAAGGGAGAAACGTGCCCTCAGCAGCAGCCAGGCCAAGCCTTCTGGCCCTGATGGTGAGGAGCTCAGTCCTGGCCCGAGGCCCAGGGGGCTGGTTTCATTGGCCACGAAAGTGGGCAGATTTAGGCTGGGAAGGGAGCATGTTATATATGAAGATGCTAAGAGACAAATTAAGGGTCTAATTCTGACTATGTTGCTGTGTGACTTTGGGATAATTGCTCTACATCACTGTTTTCTTACCAGTAAAATGGAGCAGTAGTCTCTGCATTTCTTCCCTCATGTGATTTTTGTGGGATCAAATGAGTTTATGAGCCTAAAAGTGTTTTGGAAACAGGAAGGCCCTACGCAGGTATACCTTATACCTGGCTGAAACTAATAGGTTTTCATTATGACCCAGAGACAAGAGAGCCAACAGTACCACCCTGAGAAAATTGAGGCCAGAAATTTGGCCATGGCTACACACAATTCTGGTCTGACGCCAGCTCCAGAGTTTAAGCAAAGGTTTGGGGTGGGGGAAGCCCTAAGCGGGAACACACTGCCACAGGCTGCTGTGTGCTGGGCCCCTGGTGTGCAGGCTGTGCAGGGACAATTCTTGAGTGTCCTGAGGTCTCAGCAGGTCTGGCCAGGCAGCCTGAAGAGGTGGTATTGCAGGCCTCCATCTCCCCATACCATCTATTCAGAGCCACAGATGAAGTCACAGCCTTCCGGGGGAAACTGCTGAGTTGGTACGACCGAGAGAAGCGGGACCTACCCTGGAGAAGATGGGTAGGCAGGCGAGGGACAGTGGTGGGGGAGGCTGGCACCCAGCCCCCTCCACACTAACTCCCCATCTGGGGTTGCATTAACAGGCGGAGAATGAGGTGGACCTGGACAGACGGGCATATGCTGGTCAGTACCTCTCCTGAGAGCAGGGCCACTTTGTTTTGAAGCCCTCAGGTCTGGGGGCTGTGGGATAGGAGCAAGGCAGATCAGCAATGCCCTCATGCCAACCCCTCTCCCCCAGTGTGGGTCTCAGAGGTCATGCTGCAGCAGACCCAGGTTGCTACGGTGATCAACTACTATACCCGATGGATGCAGGTGACTCCGAGGGAGGAAGGGGAGGGTCATGGGTCAGACCCCAGATGAGAACCTGTACTTTGGGGTGAGTGTAGAGGCTTCTTCCACCACTCTCACCTTTGACATCATCTCTTTTTGCCTGCCTTGGGGCTGTAGAAGTGGCCTACACTGCAGGACCTGGCCAGTGCTTCCCTGGAGGTGAGAACCACACTAAGGTGGGGGAATGGGGACAACCGAGAGACTGACCCATGATCTCTTTGACCCGACATCATCCACAGGAGGTGAACCAGCTCTGGGCTGGCCTGGGCTACTATTCTCGAGGCCGGCGACTACAGGAGGGAGCTCGGAAGGTAAGGGGGTGGCAGGAGGGTAGGAGTCCAGGGACCTTGGTGTCTCATTAACTTGAGTCTTCCCACCCTAACCAGGTGGTAGAGGAGCTAGGGGGTCACATGCCATGTACAGCAGAGACTCTGCAGCAGCTCCTACCTGGCGTGGGACGGTACACAGCTGGGGCCATTGCTTCCATTGCCTTTGGCCAGGTGAGTCCATAGCCCACCTCCACTTTGTGCATGCTCAGCGTCCTTCCTCTCAGCCCAGACTGACTCCCAGGCTCCTCTGTGCCAGGCAACCGGTGTGGTGGATGGGAATGTAGTACGGGTGCTGTGCCGCGTTCGAGCCATCGGTGCTGATCCCAGCAACACCGTTATCTCCCAGCAGCTCTGGTAGGATATTATATGACAGGGGAGGTTAGAAGGGGTGTCTCCCAAGGGGCTTTGGCTCACAGTGATGATCCCTTCTTATAGGAGGTTAGCCCAGCAGTTAGTGGACCCAGCCCGGCCAGGAGACTTCAACCAAGCAGCCATGGAGCTGGGGGCCACAGTGTGTACCCCGCAGAGCCCACATTGCAGCCAGTGTCCTGTGCAGAGCCTGTGCCGGGCACACCAGAGAGTGAGCCTACCCGGGAAGGAGCAGTGAGGGGTCCTCAGGAGTGACCCTTGCTCCATGACACCCACCTTATGCCTCTCAGGTGGAGTGGGAGCAGCTCTCAGCCTCACGGAGCCTGCTGGGCAGTCCTGACGTAGAGGAGTGTGGTGAGTGCCAGCCTTAGCCCCTGCCCTAGCCCTTCCTGGCCCTATCAGGGAGCTGCCTGCGGAAACCTCATTCCAGTTCTTCCTATAACCTGAGTAAGGTTCTGCAGAGCTGGGTTAAGGCCTGCTCTCTGGGCTTGGCACCTAAGCCCTCTTGGCCTGAATGGAGCTCGGGGATCTCTGTTCCCAGCTCCCACCACTGGACAGTGCCAGCTGTGCCTGCCTACCACAGAGCCTTGGGACCGGACCCTGGGAGTGGCCAACTTTCCCCGAAAGGCCAGCCGCAGGCCCCCCAGGGAGGAATGCTCTGCTACTTGTGTTCTGGAGCAGCCCAGGGCCCTTGGGGGTGCCCGAATTCTGCTGGTACAGAGGCCCAAGTCAGGTACCTGGAGGGCAGAGGCACGTGCAGCAAGGGAGGACTGAAGGAGTAAGCAGCCCCTCAGCACTGCCTCGTTGCCCTCCCTCTCAGGTCTGCTGGCAGGACTGTGGGAGTTCCCATCTGTGACCCTGGAGCCCTCGGAGAAGCATCAGTACAAGGCCCTGCTGCAGGAACTGCAGAGTTGGGCCGGGCCCCTCCCGGCTGCCCACCTCCGGCGCCTTGGGGAGGTGAGTGAGCAGTGGAGGGGCCAGAAATGATGGCTTCTGAGGCCGTGTCCACAGGCTATTTAAGCCTCTTGGCCCCTCCCTCCAGGTGGTCCACATCTTCTCTCACATCAAGCTGACATACCAAGTATACGGTCTGACCCTGGAGGGGCAGACCCCAGTGACTACCACACCACCTGGCGCGCGCTGGCTGACGCGGGAGGAATTTCACACCGCAGCTGTCTCCACTGCCATGAAAAAGGCACCACCTTTGTTGTCTTTGTGCTTTTTTGTGTTTCCTACATGTTCTACATGAGCCTATTACTGTGTAAACAGGACAAAAAAAGCGTATTTTAAACAGAAGCGCTGGGGCATGAAGTTGAGGGCAGAACACAGGGGTTTGGCTCTTTCAGAGAAGGTGCCAGCCCTGTCCTCTCCCCCTCTTCTTGGCTAGGTGTTTCGTGTGTATGAGGGCCAACAGCCAGGGACCTGCAAGGTAAGTCTCCGTCCTTACCCAACCATCTCTCCCCAGGCCTGAATCCACAGTTTTCAATCAGTTAACTGATGCACCTTTGGGTGAACATTCTCCACTTCAGGCTTCACTAGGAGCAGAGGAATAGTTCTTGACCCGGGGACCTTGCAGTGTGGGATGCAGGGTAAGGGGGACAGGAACAAATTGATGAGCAACAGTCCAGTGAGACAGGTGTATGAAACGTGTGGACTAGGTTTTGTGGGATATGAGGTACGGAGCCATCAGTTTTATCTGGGAGGCAAGGATCGGGAAGGGCTGTTTGGAGGGAGCAGCTGGTAATCTGGGTCCCAGAAATGATTTGTTTTCTCCAGGTTTAGGAGAGGAATCAGCAGGAAGGATGTTCTTTCCAGGCCTAAGAGCAGTATAAACAAAGGTGGGGCACAATACAGTCTGCAGTGCTCAAGTCAGGCTCAAACACCAGACCACACCAGACCAAGGGAGTCAGATTTACATTTTAGGAAGATTCCCTGGGGCGGCCTTTTGGAGAGTTGATTGAAGGGGCAGATGCTGGTGGCAGATTGAAATCTCAACAACATTCCAGGATAGAACCTGAGCTAGATAAGCAGAGTGTGGGAAGTGGGGGAAGGAGAGGATTCCCTGTGCCCCCTCCTCTGTTCTGCACAGGGTTCCAAAAGGTCCCAGGTGTCCACTCCATCCAGCCGGAAAAAGACGAGCCGGGGCCAGCAAGTCCTGGATAGCTTCTTTCAGCCCCTCGTCTCCACTGATGCACCCATCCCTAACAGTGTAGCCAAGTGACGCCTCTGGAAGACCCCACCACCTGAGAATCCTGCTGTTAATAAAGTGCTTATTTTTGTAGTCATTTTGGAGAGCTTTCTACCCTCTCCCTAGCTCCCTCACTTCTCACCTCTGAGGGACCCAGAAAGTGGTGAAGTCCTGCTTGGTCCTGACTTCCACCAGCTGAGCTCCCAGCCAGTACTGGGCAGATGAAGGGGGAGTGTTCTGCCCAGAGTGATCTCTCTTCCCCCAGCCCCAGGAAAGAGGGTAAGGGCAGCTCCAGGGAGCACCTGCTAGTGGCTGACAGCCAAGACTCCCTGTCTAGGTTTCAGGTCAGCTCTGACTGGAGCAGTGGCATCACCCTAGAGCAGGTGGTTGGAAGCTCAGTCCTGACTCAGCCCCTCTCCACCTGCAGTGGTTACTTCCTAGGGGGGAGGGGAAGCCCTGGGGAGGATTTGTGCTTTCTTAAATTCCTGCTTCGAATATGAGATCATTTTTTTAGAGATACATATGTAGTGAAACAATACAGAAAAAGGGTTCATAATCTCAGAATTTGGGGAGGGGGTGAGTGGGAAGGAAATGGGATCCAAGGAGGCCTCAAAAGTATTGGTTACATTCCATCTCCTAATTGTGAAATTCTTTTATTCTTCATATTGTGCATATGTATTAGATACAAGTTGTTTGTAAGAAGTAGTCTATAGTTTTAAAAAAATTTCCCCTTTGGAGTCCATTGAGAGACTCAACTTCTGGCAGTTACTGAAGGGAAGGAGGTCACACCTAGCCCCGGGGAAAGCCTTCCACTAGCTCCGCCCCCTGCAGGTGTTCTCAGCTTCAGCAGGCCCTGTACTGGCCCAGAGCTTCAGGACTGGTGGCTGTGGCAATCCTCAAGCTTCCTGGCTCCTGGCAGCTTGCTCCTGCACGGACTGCCACAGGGCCCTGATGTTGCCCTGGCCAAAGCCTGTGGCCCCCTGCCTTTGAATCAGCTCCAGGAAGAAGGTGTCCTCAGCAAAAAGGGACTTGGTGAAGACCTGAAGCAGAAACTTGCCTTTATCACCATCTAGCAGGATTCCTTGTCGGGCCAGAAGGCTAGGTTCCTGCCCCGCCGCTAGGATCTGTCTCTCTTTGCCTGGCTGCTGGTAGTATGCCTCAGGGGGAGTCAGGAGCTGGCCCCCGGCCCCTGCCAGCCCCTCGGTGGCCTCCATGATGTTGGGCGTATATAGTCCCACGTGCTGCAGGCCCGGCCCCCTGTGCCGAGCCAGGAACTGCTCCACCTGGTCCTGTTCTTCGGCGGCTCCCGGCAGGGACTCAGCCAGCACGAGGGTGGGAATAATGCTGCCTGGTGGGGTCTGCAGGGCGGTAAGCCGAAGCCCACCGCGCCCAGACTCTGCTGCCACCTCGAGGCCCAGCTCCGGATCCTCACCTGGGCTCAGCGGCAAGTGGCAAAAGCCCAGGCAGTCGTGGAACCAGCGCGAAAGTGTGGGGGAGCTGCCGGGGGTGCAGGCCAAGGTCAGATGGTCCACGTGGCTGACCCAGCTGGGGCCCGGCGCGGAGGGTACGGGCTCAAAGCCGGGGAGGAAGGTCCCGCGGTAGTCGGCGCGCTCCAGCAAGGTCAGGCTGAGATTGCCGGCGGGCGAGCTGACCACGGCATAGGTGGCGGCGCCCTGCGCGTCCTGCACGCTAACAGGGGGCACCGGAACGCGGCAGCCCCGCGCAGTCAGCGCCCGGGCGGCGGCACCGGCGTCCGCCACGTCGAAGCACAGGTTCGTGGCGCTCGGCACCGCGTGCCGCGGATCCAGACAGTACAGCGGCTCCCCGGGTCCCGCGCCCTCGTTTACCAAAAAAACAGCGTCGCCGCTGCGCAGGGCCAGCTGCCGCCAGCCGTCCGCCTCCCGCGCCGCCAGGGGCTGGAAGCCGAAGAGACGCTGCAGGTCCCGGGCAAGGGGCTGCCCGGTGGGCACGTGGAAGGCGATGTGGCACAGACGGCGGGCAGGCGCGGCCATGGCGCGTGGGATGGCGACCTCGACCTGTCCTCCTGGGACGCTCACTTGCGGGTCGAGACCCCGGTGCTCTCAGTCCCAGGCTGGTCATCGGAGGCCGGTGGAGTCCAGTTCTTCCCGCATATCCCGTTCCTCGCTCTTTTCCAGGGAGAAGTCGCCGGTCGACCCCTTGAGGCTCGCGGTTCTCCCTGTAGCGCCACCCCAGTTGGAGCTGCCTGACGACCACTGGGGCTGAGGGGCGAGTTGTGAGAACCACGCGGAGCCGGAGCTCAGGCTGAGCTGAAGAAAAGGGGCGGAGCCCCGGACTCCGCCTTCGACACGCTCCACCCTCTCGCCAGGCCCAGTCGCAGAGGGTAGAGAGCCGGGACGCAGGGCGGCTCCTTCTCAGGGCCTCAGGCCGGGTCACAACCTTGGGCACTGAGCCTCCCTTCGCCGGACCAGGAGACCACAATAGCTGCCTTCACTCGGTGCCAGGCTCTGGGCTCTCACTCATTCCCCCAACCGCCCAGCGCAGGGACTCAGCCGGGTTGGGGGAGGCGTCCGAATTCTCCCTCCACAAGCACGGAATTTCTTAGCAGTTTCATTTTTTTTCTTTACAGTTCTGGAGTTTGCCTCTAAATCTTAATGTTCTTTTCAGTGTTTTTAAAAAGTATATTAAATCGTCGCTTGAGCGCAGGAGTTTGAGGTTGCAGTGAGCTATGATGATACCACTGTACTCTAGCAAGACTCTATCTCAATAAAATAAAATAAAAGTTTTAAGTTACAGATTTTCCACTCCCTCCCCAAAATGATCCAAAAAAATTGATGTTATAGGAAAATAGGCCATCTATATGGCTCTTCGATGTTTCTCCTTTCATTCTGGCAAATCTCTCAGCCCTATCTCTTTCTTCAATACTACTTCTCTGAGCATCTTTTTTTTCTTATTATTATTATTTAGGAGATGCGGTCTTGCTTTGTTGCCCAGGTTGGTCTCAAACTCCTGAGCTCAAGGCATCTCCTGCCTCAGGCCCCCAAGTAACTGGGACTACAGGCAGGAGCCAGCACACCTGGCTTTTCAACATTTTTTATCCTCTTGTCCCAGGCAAAATTTGGAGAAAACATCTGATGGTTCAAGACCTGAAAGGAACCATTGCACAGGTGTCTTCCTTCCCCCTCCCCACCCTATTGGGCCTAGACCTAAGGCCCTCCTTGCTCTTTGCAGCTTCCTGACTTGAAGAACCAGAGGAGTTTTCTAGGGGTGTTTCCAGCGCTGGGATCCAGAATTGTGTGAGATGACTGAATCGAGGAAATTAGGAGTCTTCTGGGACGTCAGCTGGGAGGGCCTTGAAGGGTTAGGGAAGGGCATCCAAGAAAGGCAAAAGGCCTAAGCAAAAATTCAGTGAGAATGAGCCAAACTCTCAGAGCATCAATGGAGCATACTGTTGGGGAGGCATGTGGGATGGATGCCATGCTCCAAGGCATGGCAAGAGATTCCTTTGTCAGGAAGCCTCATTTGTTGGCAAAAGGGAGAAGGATGCCATGGAGGACAGGGCTTAGAAAACAGGACCCCTGGCCCTTTATTTCCCACCTACTCCCAAGGGAGAGGGCAAGGTTTCTGGAGGCTAAATGGGGGCTGATAGAAAAGGGCGATTTTGGCTGGGCATGGTGTGCTTGACTTTGACCCAGGGCACAGTCTGGTCTCTGAAGAGGCGGGCTGGGCTGCGGGTAGAAATGCTCGAGGATGTTGGTCTCCGTCGCGGCCAGAGTCCACTTCCAGCAGCTCTGCTGGTGTCCGGACCGTGACCCACGGTTCCCTTACAGTCAGGACCCTGCAGAACTTTCGCAAAATGGGTTCTCCAAGCCTGGCCGCGACTGCCCTGCTAGGGCTACGGGTGCTGAGGGTAGGCGTGCAGGTCGAGACGGAAGAGAACCGGAGGACGCCACGGGAGGGCGCGCGGGGCCAAGGGGCAGGGTGGTGGTTCCGCTGGAGGCTTCCGCCGCTCCCGTCTCTACAGCGGTAGGGTCAGCAGAGGTGGAGGCTGCCGGTGGAGGACCCAGGAGCCGAAGTCGTGGATCCGCGTCCCTGCAGCAGCTCTCGGCCTAGGCCCGGCGGGCGAACGAGGGACGCTCGCCTCGCTCCGAAATCCTGACCGCGTCCCCGCCCCTCTCTCGCCTCTCCCAGCCTCCTCCCCGCCCCCTTCCGCCGGAGGCGGCCCCGGAAGCTTGCGCCGCTCCGAACACGCGTCTCCCTCGCCCCCACGTGTCTCCGTCCCTTTCTCGGCTTTTAGAGGGCGTGACATTTTACGACAGGTGGCCCAGAAAAACCTCACAGAGAAGGTAACATTAAAAACATTTTTTATGGGGTACAGTGAACACTGTTTCGGTGGTGGGCACACTTATTGCTGTGACTCAGGCATTACCAAAGCGATCCATGTAACCAAAAACATTTGTACCCCCTTAATATTTTGAAATAAAAAAACCCAGCATTCTTATTATGGTACACAATACACATAATATTTACCATATTAACTATTTTTAAGTGTAGAGTTTAGTGGTATTAAGCACATTGATATGGCCGTGCAACCATCACCAACGTCCATCTACAGAACTCTTTTCATTTTCCCCAACTACAGTAAAACTCTGTACCCATTAAACAATAATTTTCCATTTTCCCCTGGCCCCAGCCAACTACCAATCTATTTTCTGTCTCTATGATTTTGGCTACTTTAGGAACCTTATGTAAGTGGAATCATACAGCATTCGTCTTTTTTATGACTGGCTTACTTCACTTAGCGTACTGTCCTCAAGGTTGCGATAGCTTGTGTCAGGAGCTGAGGGAGCAGCCAGATGGCTCTGTGGGGAAGAGGGTTCTTTCCCAGTAGAGGAGCAAGTGTAAAAGCCCTGAGACAGAAATGGGGCTGGGGCCGGGTGCGGTGGCTCACGCCTGTAATCCTAGCACTCTGGGAGGCCGAGGCGGGCGGATTGTTTGAGCTCAGGAGTTCGAAACCAGCCTAAGCAAGAGCAAGACCCTGTCTCTACTAAAAAAAAAAATAGAAAGAAATTAATCAGACAACTAAAAATATATAGAAAAAATTAGCCGGGCATGGTGGCCCATGCCTGTAGTCCCAGCTACTCAGGAGGCTGAGGCAGAAGGATTGCTTGAGCCCAGGAGTTTGAGGTTGCTGTGAGCTAGGCTGACGCCACGGCACTCACTGGGCAAAAAGTGTGAGACTCTGTCTCAAAAAAAAAAAGAAATGGGGCTGGTGTGTTAGATCAAAAGGCCAGTGCAGCTGGAGGAAGATAGGGAGTGGGGACAGTGGTAGCCATAAGCTAAATCTTGCAGCACTTTAGGACTTTGGCTTTTACTCTGACTGATAGGAAGCCATTGGAGGGTTTTGAGTAGAGGGGTGACAAGCTTGGCCTCCACATTTCTGCTGAATCTCTCTGGCTGCTGTGTTGATAATAGGTTGGAGGGAAGCAAGGGCAGATTAGGGAGGCCAGTGAGGAGGCTGTTGCTTGGAATATTGTCTGGAGAACTAGAGAAGTCTTCCCAGGGGAAGGGACTTTTCAACTCATACCAGACTGTGCAGTAGGAATTGACAAGGGTGTGTTTATGCCTGGAAGGTAGACATGGAGTAAAGTGTTCCAGGTGAAGGGCACAGCTAATGTGAAGGCCTGGAGGCTTCATTGGCAATTGTCAGTCACCAAATCTTCCCTAGACTGGGAGATGCTTGGGGAAGAGGTGGGTTTTCAACTCAATAGCCCCAGGGCAGGGTCTTCACCAGGTCTCTGGGGGCCCTAGCTAGATATAGAAGGGGAGTGGGAACTATCTGTTGGTATTTACTTCAACTTACTGCCACCAAGTCTAGAGACCTGCTGAAAACACCCTCTCCTCTTCTGCCATGATGAAGGAAGAATCCCACCTGGCTGAGACTACACCAGTGTGTCACCTAAGCTCACATCATCTGTGCGGCTGAACTGATTTTCCTCTTTCTTCTGTGTCTTCACTCTCTCCCTTTTAAGAGAGATTCTAAGGTCCCTCTCACCTGAAAAAAGGACAACAACAATAACAAAAAAAAAAAAAAAAAAAAGGGAGAGAAATCTCTCCTTCTATTCTGCTTATTTCTACAACTGTTGTTTTATCTTTCTCTTCCCCTTTGTAGCCAAACTTCTAAAAATTAATTTTTAAAGACTCTAAATATTAGTTTTTATATACATTATATAAACTTCATTGTACATGCTCAAAATAAAAATCCAAACATACCAAAAAACATAAAATGAAAAGTAAAGTTCCCCTTACCCTGACCACCCAGCACAGGTAACTAACCATTATGAAGAGCTTCTCGTGTATCTTTTTTTTTTTTTTAGCATTTTATGTGCATTTATACAAACTTATATATGGCTATCCTTTTTTCTTAATGCATCCAGTCTTGGATATATTTCCATTTCATTATATATAAATCTACCATGATCATTTTAATGGCTCTGTAGTAGCCTATTGTATGGATATGTTATAGTTAATTTAATGGTGTTAAAATGTTCCTACTCAGGAACATTTTAGCTGTTGTATTACATTTTAGCTGTTTATAAAATGCCTCAGTAGGCCAGATGCAATGGCTCGCAACTATAATCCTTGCACTCTGGGAGGCCGAGGCGGGAGGATTGATTGAGGTCAGGAGTTTGAGACCAGCCTGAGCAAGAGTGAGACCCCTTCTCTACTAAAAATAGAAAAATAAGCCAGGTGTGGCAGCATGCGCCTGTAGTCCCCGCTACTTGGAGGGCTGAGGCAAGAGGATTGCTTGAGCCCAGGAGTTTGAGGTTGCAGTGAGCTACAATGACACCATGGCACCAGGGCTACAGAATGAGACTCTGTCTCAAAAAAAAAAAAAAAAAAATTAAAATTAAAAAAATAATTAAATGCCTCAGTAGACATCCTCTCTGTGGGTGTTCGTGCACATGTAAAGTACATTTGTGGACTAATTTCTTGGAAGTAAAATTGTTGGGGTAAAGGCTATATATATTTT